GCAATCCCTTCTTCTCCATTCTCCTCTCAGAATCTTGGGCCTGCACACACATGCGCCTGCATGAGTTTAAGCCACCAGGTCCTGGACTTGAACCGCAATCAACTACATGGGAGTCCAGTGACATACCAATTATGCCACTAATTAATCTAATTTACTTATATATGTGTATATATTGGGTTTTTGGGGAAGCAATGACACATTATTGGATAAAAAATATAAAAATGTCATGATTTTTCTGACAACCTAATAGACACATACACACACGACCCAATACATGATTAAATGGGCTTAGGAAAGATGTTACTCACAAACACAGAATGTTGGTAACTGCTAGTATTTGAAGTCCAAGTTTAAACTTCACATATAAATAAGCTATTGGATTTTAAATTATGTGTTCAATAATAAGACATTTACTTGCAATATTGACAGTATCTGCATGTGCTCATATCTTCCTTGGTTCTTCGGAGCAATTTTACTGGTAACACATTTAAAAACTCCCAAATATGTATTTATTTTATTATTATTTTTTTTTTTTGGAGAGGTTTTTTGCTATAGGGCGCGTGTGCTCGCCAGACAGACAGAGAGAGACATAGAGACAGAAAGCGAGAAATCACCCCCTAGGGGGGATGGTCATGCCGCAATCCCTTCTCCTCCATTCTCCTCTCGGGATCTTGGGCACGCACGCACATGCGCCCGGCGTGTTTTAAGCCACCGGCTCCAGGACGCAAACCATGGTTGACTACGTGGGAGTCCAGCGACATAGCCATTACGCTAACTCCTGGTTTCCCCAAATATGTATTTAATCAAAAGAAATACAAACTCATGAGGAGTCTTCAAAAAGTTCATTGAAAATGTATATTATGAAAAACTGGGCATGGATTTCAAATCTTTCCCCCAGAATAAACTTGTACCTCAGTTTTATTTTCCAAAAACTTTTTGAAAAACCTCTTGTACAATCATTTATTTGCACAGGCTAAAGAATAAAGTTCTATATAAATAAATGACTAGGAAGGCTTTAATTTAAAAAGCAGTGAAATCTTACAGCATTTTCATCACATGAAGGGCAATTGGTAGAATTGTAGACCTTTTCAATATTTAAACATTCACCATTGCTGCACACCTAGAAATAAACAACATGAATTAGAATGACTTATAATGCATGTGAATTTATTATTTTAAAGTATGGGTGAAATAATATATTTCAATTTAAGTGACTTAATTATAACTTAGGTGATTTATTTTATTGAAAAACTACACATATAGACTTCTTGGGATGAGGAAATCCTCTTGAATGCTTGATGAATGCATTGCATGTGCAAATACTATTATACACAAACTCACGAATAAAATGTTTATATCCTTATTAATTCTTAGAATGCTAGTCTATCAAGGAGTTGACAATTATAATTGTAATCATTTCTTTTATCACTATCATTTTCCTTTTTATTTGATATAAGGATTCCTGCTTTTTGCATTAGAATTGCCAGGTGCACATTTTATTAATATTTTATGCTTAATGCCTTTGTTTTAATTTTTCTTGTATTGAAATAATTTTTCTACCAAAATATTGTGTTTATGTTACTTTCAGATTTTGAATAATTTATCTTAGCCTATTTACTTAATATCTATTATATTGGCTTTTTGTTTATAACTGGACTTTTTTTTGTTGCTAATTTAAAAATTAATTTCAAATAGAAATTTTTTTTAAGAGAGGTTTATGCTATAGGGCGCTTGTGCTCGCCAGAGAGACAGAGAGAGAAAGCAAGAACTCACCCCTGGGGTGGATAGCCATACAGCAATCCCTTCTCCTGTCTCCTCTTGAGATTATGAGCATGCACACACCCGTGCCAAAATGAGGTGTGTGTGTTTTTTTTTTTTTTTTTTTTTGGAGAGGTTTTTGCTATAGGGCACGTGCACTCGCCAGACAGACAGAGAGAGACAGAAAGCAAGAAATCACCTCCCAGGGTGGATGGCCACACCGCAGTCCCTTCTCCTCCATTCTCCTCTCAGGATCTTGGGCATGCACACACGTGCCCGGCGTGAGTTTTAAGCCACCGGATCTGGGACGCAAATCGCGGTCGACTACGTGGGAGTCCAGCGACATGGTCATTATGCTAACTGCTGATCCCGTTTTCTTGGTTTGTTTTTCAATGAATGATTTCTTATTTAACTAACTTTCTTTCTTTCTTTCTCTTTCTTTCTTTCTTTCTTTCTTTCTTTCTTTCTTTCTTTCTTTCTTTCTTTCTTTCTTTCTTTCTTTCTTTCTTTCTTTTTCTTCTTTCTTTCTTTCTTTCTTAATTTGACCAGAGAGGGACTGAGTGAGTGATAGAGAGAGAGAGAAAGAGAGACAGAAAGTGAGAAAGCAAGCTGCCAGGTCTGGGACTCGAACCTCAGTCAGCCATTGGGGAGTCTGGCATCTTTAACCACCATGCCACCTGCCAGCCCTAGAATGAGTTATAAGCTGCTAGGTCCAGGACTTGAACCATGATCAACAATGTGGGAGTCCAGTGACATAACCATTATGCCATCAGCTGCTCCTTCTAGGAGAAATTTTTTAATCCATCCATATTTATTGCGATAAATGATATGTTAAATTCTGCTTCTTTCATCTTATATGATTTCTAATATTTTATCTTATGTTTGCTGTATTTATCAGTTTTATTCTGCAGTTATTTTTTTCTAACATAAAAGCTATATATTCTAAATATTGCTTTATTTTTACACTAAACTTGAACGTAAATAATTACATCATTTTCAATAAAAAAAGCCATTAATACTTGTGTTAATTAAGAGTCATCATGGGGATCAGCTGATGGTTTAATGGTTATATCGCTGAATTCTCACATACTTGACTGCCGTTCGAGTCCCGTGTCCAATAACTTAAAACTTATGCTGGGAGCATGTGTGTGTATGCCCAAGATCCTGAGAAGAGATTGGAGGAGAAGGGATTGTGGCATGGCCATCCTCTCTGGGTGTGATTTCTCACTTTCTGTCTGTCTCCCTCTGGCTAGCACACGTGCCCGATAGCAAAAATCTCTCTAAAATATAAAGAGCCATCATGCTCTTGATTCTTTCCTTTTCCTCTCAGTTCAAGTTTTTATTTCAATAAGTTGAGACTTTAGATTTGTTATAGTTATTATTATTCACGAATCAAGGTATTTTACCATTTTTATAATAAATAGATTAACAAGACGTAATTAAAGCTAACCCAAAAGTTTCATAGATTTTTCTGCTTGTAATCATTTTTAAATACCTGATCCTCTCATTTTAGTTTCTTAATTTGTATCTATTTCTTGACTATTACTCTTTTAAGAAAATAAATGTAGTTTATTATTATCATACATTTTCATAGTCATAAATTGTATGTCAGTGTCATTGCACTGCTTTAATGTCTGAATGGTAACTTGGCCATCTGAATGGCTTTATGTCCCCAGTATTTGTATTTCCCAAAGATATGTAGAGGATGCTCCATGTTTTGGGAACAAAATCAACCCCTTCTTCCTTTAGAATCCACATGTACATTGGCTGTCCCACCATAAAAGCACTTTTGTTGAATTATAGTGATCTTTTTAATTTAATGTATGAAATTCTCAAGTAGACTCATCTTTAAACCATCTGTATCTAGCAGTCAGTGGCCTCAGAGCACAAAGCCAGTAAATAGGGTCGAATGAATAAAATAAATGAAGAACGTGTGAATACTTTAAAGTCACATTAATTAGATAACAAATCATGCTTCCACTTTCATTAGATGTCTACTGTATAATAATTAAGCACGATTATAACAATATCTTACCTTTCAGTATAAGTACAATTAGGCAAAATGAATGTTTATTACTATGTTATTGCTACTGTGTGACTTATTTTTAAAAAATAGCTGCCACTTTTTTTCTTTCCCTTGCCTTCCCATACGTAATCCCTCTGGAACCAATTACAGGATCCCATGTTGTTTTTAAGTGGCAGAACCAAGAAATCTTAATAAAACAAAGGGCTTTCATCTTACCATTCCATCTCCACATTTTGTTCCAGAAGCAACCAGGCCAACATCTTTAGAATTGTGGTACAAAAACAAGGTTTTGCATTTGATGGTGGCATTTTGCTTTGAATCCCTAAGGTGATAGGTCTTGTCTTCTCCAAGGAGAGACGAGTGCTGTCCTCCAGCACAGTATATCTTTCCGCACTTGATATCTCTAAAGGAAAGAGAGAGGATCTCAGACTTGGAAATAGAACTTTAGGGACAGGCTGGCAAAGAAGGGACCCGGTCACTTGTTATAAAGACCCTGGTTTTTCTACAGGTTAAATGACCCATAATGATTAGAGAAAACCACTGGCTAGTCAAAGTCCTGACTCTGGGCACTGAGATGAGTTTGTGAAAAAAGGAAAGTAATTGTATTTATTTTTGATTCCTCTGTCATCTCACAATCTTATCTCAAGATTGGAGAGGAATATTTTTAGTAGCAATAGCATAACATTATTCAGCACACTAAGATTTCCTTATTCTTTCTTACATAGAGAACACAACTGATGCTGACAAACAAATCTGTGAGGCTGCTATTACTACAACCTATGTTTTGTGGATTAAACAGCAACTGAGAGACTGTCCATTTTTACCTAGAGTGTGTAGAAGCAAAGTTGAACTTGACCATAGGTTGCTGTGGCTGTAGTTTTAAGTCCAGTTCTGGTTTTTTGTATGTAATAATCTTATAGAATTTTAGCAGCAAATGGAAAAGTATAAAAGCTCATGCTTTTCAAAATCAGATCTATTTTCTGAAATTTCCCATTCTCTCTTCCTGTTTCAACTTTTACCATTTTTTAATCCTTTCACTTTTTTCTCCCCTCTTTTTTTTTTTTTTTTTTTTTGAGGTTTTTGCTATAAGGTGCGTGTGCTCGCCAGAAAGACAGAGAGAGTTAGAGAGACAGAAAGCGAGAAATCACCCCCCAGGCGGGATGGCCGCACTACAATCCCTCCTTCTCCATTCTCCCCTGGGGATTTTGGGCATGCATGCACATGTGCCCAGAGGGAGTTTCGGGACTCAAACCACAGTCAACTACATGGGAGTCCAGCGACATAGCCGTTTCGCCAACTGCTGGTCCCTTCTTCCCTCTTTTTGTTTTCCTTTTCCTACATACTTTTCTTTTCCTCCTTTTGCTCTGCCTTTGTAAGGAGCAACACTCCTTTCTTTCCTCTCTTTACTAAGCATCTTAAACCTTCTCCATCTTTCCTCCTCATGTTCTATGGCCTTAAGCAAGTGAAAATGGTATATAAATACTAGATGTGTCCTCTCCCTTCCTGCCTCTCTGTCTTCCTGGAAGTGAACAGCTGTCAGAATAAGAACCATTCTGATTTTGCAAAGTACTCTTAGAAAATGCTTTCTTTTTCTTCAATGGGCACTTACTTGTCTTCACAGGGAAGGAATTTGTTGTCTTTGTTTTTGCAGTATCCAAATTTATTTCCTTTTTTATTCATTTTGTAGCAGATATCAGGACTCTTTTTTGCCCCTACAATACAAAATGGTATGATAAAAGCAAATCAATGGATGTGTGAATATCATGAACCATGAAATACCATATGTTTCTAATGAAATTAAGTTCAGTATCATGTCATATCTTGTAGTGATGAAGCAGAATGGAAAAAAATCACTTAAATGCTACTCTACTGCCTCGGGAGAATATTTTAAGTCAGAGTAAAAAATACAAAAAAGTCAGGCCAGCCCTGAAGCCTCATGGTTAAGGGAGCTGGATCCCACATGGCTAACCAGTTGGAATCCCAACCTCATAGACTTGAAAAACATGCCAGACATGTGAGTGTGTGTGCAAAATCCCATCAGATAGAGAAATGGAGAGGAGATTGCAGCATGAGCATATCCCACTGAGGGTGCTTTTTCCCTCTCCTCTCTGATGAGTGCACATGCCCTCTGGCAATCAAAAAATTATTGCCACACAGACATTAGCTTACATACTTAGCCAGTCAATTCATATTCAAGGTAACTTCCAGAGAAATGTTAGGTAATACCTTGGAAGAATGCCACAGATGATATTACTGCCCATGTTGCCAAAATTCCTACAGAACAAAGAAATACAGGCAACTAACTTTACCGGTCCTTCACTGTAATCGTTTCTCACCGTCATCAAACAGTTCAGAGCACTGATCACCACGGCTGGGACATTTTCCCCTGAAGCAGTAGCTTTCTTTATTCTTGCAAGGAAATCCATTGACTTGGAATTGGTCCTTGGGACACCCAGGGGAGTGGCCAGTACACACTTCCGGAAGATCACATTCATCTCTTGCTGGTCTGCACATGGACCCTGCTTTTTTCATCTGTTGAAGAAAAACAAAGAGAATCACCTTGGAGGCATTTAGGGAAGTACAGTTCTGTAAGTAAACAGAGAGTTGGCCTATTAATTTACCTACAAAATATTTTGAAGATAGATGAAACTTCCCTCTCCATTTGACTGAGAATTATTATTGTTTGTAAATGCTTTGGTTTTTATGAAATTTTTTATAACTAAAAAGATAGTGATTTTTTTTTTCTTTTTTTTTTTTTTTTTTTGAGAGGTTTTTGCTATAGGGCACGTGCGCTCGCCAGACAGACAGAGAGAGACAGAGAGACAGAAAGCAAGAAATCACCCCCTGGGGGTGGATGGCCACACCACAATCCCTTCTCCTCCATTCTCCTCTCGGGACCCCGGGCATGCACGCACACGTGCCTGGTGTGAGATTAAGCCACCGGGTCCGGAACTCGAACCGCAGTCGACTACATGGGAGTCCAGCGACATAGCCACTACGCCAACTGCTGGCCCCAAAAGATAGTGATTTTGAAATGTATTAGAACACTCTTAGGTAGAGTCGGAATGGACAATGGAAAGATGGGCAGATGTTATCATGTTTTTCTTATCTTTTTTCTTCCCTTGCTCAGGAAAACGCCACATATCCCTGCTCTCGTCTTCCACAGCTAAGAATCCTGACCCGTAACGAGGAATCTCCATTCCCAAGAAATCACATCACTCCACCTGTTCTCATTGCTGGAGGGAACTGCATGGAGATACTCTCTGATTCAGCCATTAAATATGCACTTAATTATACTGGGTTCTGGAGAGAAGTGAAGACTCAGAACATATGTTTATTTTCTTTGGGAGTTCACAATCCACTGGAGTGAAAGAAGTGCCAGTAACCCTTGGACACAGCCATTTGAGCTTCAGGTTGTCTTCTCTGGGTATATTTCTCCACCGACTGACCTCTATCACTTTCCAACCTTAACAGAATCCCTGTCTCTTTAAGCTCACTGTTGTTGGGATACAAATTTTCATCCCATTTGTAGTAAACTAGCTTAGTAATGACTGACACGGGAGCAAGAATAGTGTTGGTCGTATGACTTCATTCCTAAAATACCATGTGCTGCTTACCAGCTGCTCCATTTTCCAGACCACAGCACTGCTTCATGCTCAGAAGTTGGAGCCTCTGGGACCAGCAGTTAGCATAATGGCTATATGGCTGAACTCCCATGGAGTCAACCGTGGTTTAGGTTCTGGACCCAGTGGCTTAAACTCATGCCAGGCATGTATGCGTCTGTGCCCAAGATTCCAAGAGGAGAATGGAGGAGAAGGGATTACGGTATGGCCATCCCCCCTGGGGGGTGATTTCTTACTTTCTGTCTCTCTGTCTCTCTCCATCTGTCTGGCGAGTGCACACGCCCTGTAGCAAAAGCCTCCCCCTCCCCCCCCAAAAAAAAAGAGAAGTTGGGGCCTCTCAGAATAAGCATTGTAATCCTGAAGTTCACGGAGTGGAGTGAACCAGCTATTAGGTCCTGCATATACATAAACGGAAAACGGAGAAATCATCTCCCAGCAAAGGATCTTACCTGACAAAATTCACAGCATTCGCCTTCTGCACAAGTAAAGCCCGGCTTCAGTACACATTTGTGTGCATCACAGCAAGGATTAGTGCACTCCTGGAATGATCAAAAATTAAACATCAGAAATCAGTATGTGGTTTGGGTCTTGTTTGAAGACTTAGCTGTATTTCTTTGTAAACTTGCAGGGTTAGCTACAAACGCATGATCCTTGGCTGTGGTATGCCGAGCAAGGTAATGTCCTTGGAGTTGGTGTTTGGGGCATTTACTCCATTTCCCTCCCTCCTGGGTGGTCAGTACTGCACAGCTAATTAGAGAGTTCAAAGTTGTAAACTTCATTCTCCCGGTAACTTCTATTCCTTATACTAAAGACTGAGGTGAGATGATGCAACTTCTGCAGATCCGATTTTATATTTTACTCAAGATGACAACATTTTATGCTGACCTTCCTTTTTCTTAATGCATTGTTAAATTGTAACAGCAGAATGGTTAGTTAGGCACTGTCTATTTGGACAAAATTAAAACTGTGAAGAAAATGGTCTGCATTTGGTCAGTTAAGGTACTTCAAGTGTGAGAATTACACTGTAAAACTATTCCAAAGAGTTGTATCAGCAAGGGGTCAGTTTTCAAAATTAAATACCTCTTTACAGTTAATCTGAGATATTTGAAGACTGACATATTTGAAGACATAACCTCTGGAAAAATCACTGTCTCCACTCTGATTATCAAGCCTCTCTCTCTTTTTTTTATTTTATTTTTTAGAGAGAGAGATTTTTGCTATAGGGTGTGTGCACTCTCTGGAGAGACAGAAACAGAGAGAGACAGCAAGACAGAAAGACAGAAATCACCCTCCCTAGGGGGGATGGCCATGCCATTATCCCTTCTCCTCTAGTCTCTTCTCAGGATTTTGGACATGCACGCACACATGCCCAGAATGAGTTTCAAGTCACCGTGTCTGGGACTTGAACTTTGATTAAATATGTAGGAGTCCAGTGACGTAACCACTATGGCATCGGCTGGTCCCTATGACTATTGAATCTCTTAACCACTGTCCTATTGGATCTTTTTCGAATTGTGTAGTGTAAACACACAGATACTACAAATGCGGTCTTTGGACCAGCAGTCTCAGTGTATAACCTTGCAGCTTGTTAGAAAGTACCGAATCTCAGTCCCATTCCTGTTAAATCCAACATTTTAGCAACATCCCTGGTGATTTATACATACTTGTTCATTTGAGAAGCAGTTGTCTAGGACACATAGCTATTTGCTGAGCTCATAAAAGAAATAACTTCAATGTTGGGGGAATGCAGATTAAGAATCACTTTAAAATTTACCAAAACCTTTTTCCAAATGCTCCAGGAATATGTGAAAAGTGAGAAGGTTTCTGCACTAGTAAGAGAGTTTTCCAGTAATTGGACTTGTCCAACTATGATACAGGCCAGCCTCATAAACCCCCGATAAGATCCAACTGACTGACTATGAGAGATTTTGTAGAACAGATTTCTACTCTGCATGAGAGATCAGACATGGGCCCCTCTCACCCAAACACCCAATTAATTCATAAACCAGGCAAATGTGATGTTTTTCTCTAGCAACATCATCACAGACAATTCATGACTTAGCAAGAAGTCTTCAAATGAAGCAGTTTGTTTCCAAATTAAAAAACAAAAAGGCAAAGTTGTTTAAAGCGTTACAAGGAACAAACATAATGGTTGGTTTGATTAATGGCTACGTCATACCTTGCTTCTAACTGAGAATGAAACTTGGTAATCCCGAAACTATTATTTGCCAGTACCTGAACAGGGCCACAATCACACTCTTCTCCCTCATCCACCTTCTTGTTTCCACAATATGGGAAATCATGTAACTTCTCAGGAAATGGAATATTGTGCATGCACGTTGGTTTATAATCCTTCAGGTATTGCTGATGCTGGATATGACTGCATTTACAGAATTTTATAGTAATGCTAGAGATGGAAAGAGTTAAAAATCAAGATTAGTCATATCGGTGTGTAGTGGTACAGCTGCTCTGAAAGTTTTATGAAGAATTTAGAACAAAACAAATATTTTCTTTTAAAGCAGAGAGGAAGTCAGCTATTTATTATAGAAAGTACCTTCTTGAAATACAGCTAATGTATATTTTTCTAATAGAACTGCTCTGGCTGGGCTGGCTCTGTGGACTAGTAGTTAAGGGAGTTAGATCTCACAAGGCCCAGATGGTTTGAAACCTAGCCCCAGCAGCTTGAAAAACATGCCTGAAATGTGTACATGTATGCTCAAAATCTAGAGAGGATGGAAAAAGGGAGGCATAGGGATTGTGGCATGACCATGCCCCCACTAGAGGTGTTTTCTCCCTCTCCTTCTCTGTCTCTGGCAAGCACATGTTCCCTCTGGCAAATTGAAATAAAAACTCTGGCTACATGTCTTCCAACAAATCCTTCCTGAAGTCCACAATTTAGACTGGTTGTTTGTGCTTGTTATCCCATATCCTCTTTCATTTATTCTTCTTGAAAAGGCTTGTATTCTTGTTTTTCTTCCCTGCAAGATTATAAACTCATTAAGGCAAAGATTATATCATACTCAATGTTAAACAAATAAATAAAACCACTCGTTAACACAGAACCTGGTGCAGAATAGTTCTTTATAAATATGTGCTGAAATGAAATACTTATTTAATTATATGTATCCCTAGAAATTCAATATACTATTGGGGGGAACCAAGTGGTGTAGTGTTTAAGGTGCTAGATTTCTACATAGCCAACCATGATTTGAGCCCTGGGCCAGACAGTTTGAAAGTCATGCCAGGCACATGTACATGTGTGCCCAAACTCCTGAGAGGAGAATGGAGAAGGGATGTGGCATGGCCATCCTCCTGGGTAGGTGGTGATTTCTCACTTTCTCTATTTCTGGTGAATGCATGCACCCTATGGAAGAAAACTAAAAAAAATGAAAAAAAGAAAAAGAAAATATTAGTTATTAGGTGCTGAGTTCTTGCTTTCTACCAGCTTTGGTATTTGGGTGCTTTAGCTACTTTCCTTTATTCAGCAAATCTGTGGGTGCACTGATCATCACTAACAGATGTTCTTCTTACTATATATAATACATTTTTGTATCTACTGTAAAGGAGTTTGAAGATGTGCAAGGCTTAGAGCCTGACTGCAAAGTCACTCACAATGTAATGGGAGAGTGCTGGCCATTCGTTCATTGACCACCTATTCACAGAGTACTTAATAAGTGCCTGGGACTTTTCTAGATAACAGTGGTGTAACAGTGATCAAGACACACAGACCTCTCTGACCTCACAGCACGTGTATTCTAGTGGAATAATAAAATAATAAATAAGCTAAGTATGTAAAACATAAAATATGTTAGGTAGCAATCAGTACTAAAGAGAAAACAAAGCAAAAGAAAAGGCGAAGGAGTAGAAAATGTGAAGATATGTGTGTGATGGGGTAAACTGGAAAGTTGGGTCAGATGGCTGAGAAGACCTTGCTGAGAATGGCATTTGAGTAAAGTGCAAGGTAAAATTGGAGTTGAAATCAAAGACAACCAAACCACTTCTCCTGAGTGCCTTGGAGTGAGCAATAATAATTGTTCCTAGTGCAAAGAACAATTTTTTAATGTGCCCAGATGGAGTTTTTGAATTTGAAGTTTTAGTTTTCTCTCAGTGTATCACTGAAGACATGACAGTTGATCAGTCCTACCCCTAATGGGAGATTCCTTACCATGGTCTGGTTTTGCAAAAGCCCTTACAGGATATTCCACAAAATAACATCACTACAATAATGGCATTTAAGTCAAAAGCTACTCCCAATATGGTAAATGTATTCTCTGTATTGGTTGAGCCTCACCTTCCACTGCTATCCATCACACATTTTCCAGAAGGACAGGTACATGGAAACTCATCATGCAACATCCCAAGGTTGTGTCCCAACTCATGTGCCATCCTGTTTGCCACTATATTTATGTCAGGTAAAAGATCCTGATGCAAAACAAACAAACAAAAACATTGCATTAGGAAAGTCTGAAACATAGTGTACCACATGCAGCACTTTGAAGTAGTGGTTGAAAGAGTTGGTTCCTAGCTCCTAGTTAACCAGTGCCTATTTGATAGGTTACAAACTTACCTCCTTACTCTGTACTCAGTTTCTTTAATCATACAAAAAGGCTGAGGAAAAAAATCTTACTTCTTTTTTTAATCTTTTTGAGAGGTTTTTCCTATAGGGCGCGTTCGCTCGCTAAAAAGACAGGGAGAGAGAGACAGAAAGTGAGAAATCACCCCCCAGGGTGGATAGCCATGCCACAATCCCTTCTCCTTCATTCTCCTCTTGGGATCTTGGGCATGCACGCACACACGCCTGGCATGAGTTTAAGCCACCTGGTCTGGGACTCAAACCATGGGCGGCTACATGGGAGTTCAGCAACATAGCCATTATGCTAACTGCTGGTCCCCTGAAATTCTTACTTCTGTGGCACAGTAATTGTCATTGCTGTATTTACTCATACAAACTATAAACTATTGAAAGATGTCACTATGGTCTGAAAGTTTGTGTTCCTCCAAAAATTGAAGCCCTAATTCTCAAGGTCATGGTTTTAAAGGGGACTTTTGAGAGATTATTTAGTCATGGGATGGAGCCATCATGAATAGAATCAGGACCCTTCCAAGAAAGATTCAAGAGCAACTCCTTTCTCCTTCCCTCCTGAAAATTCTAAGACACAGTAAGAAGGCACCGACTGTAAGAGACCTCTGTTAGAGACCAATCCTGCCGGTGTCCTGATCTTGGATTTCCCAGCCTCTAGAATGATGAGAAATAAATGTGTATTTTTTTATGGGCCACCCACTTTATAGTATCCTGTTTCGGCAGCCTGAATGGACAGAGACAAATATAATACCCATAATTGATTGCCTTCTTTCTACTATGCAAAGGGGCTGACAATAAAATGCATGTGAGGTTTTTGTTTTTAATTTGGAGTCTCACTTTGTACAGCAATGCTATGTAATCTTGAGGGAGTTTCTATTGTAAAGAAAATCTGAAGGTCGGTGATTTAAAATCCATGACAGATACTATGGTTACTTTGGCTCTTAGTTCTATTTTAAGTCTAAATCTCTATAGTAGTGAAAAAAATCCCCCAGCAAAATAGGAAAATCAGGTCATTGTAAAGCTAATAAAACACCCCTAATTTGGTCATTTTACCTTATGCATATAAAATTTAAAATGCATCTTCAACTGGTTGTAATATCATAATTGAAGTTGTGCTGGCTTGTATGAGATTAGACTGGCTTTATTATACAAAATGTAAGTTACTGAAATATCACAGGCAAAGCTACACAGATAAAAATAACTAAATATGGGAACCAACAGTTAGCGTAATGGCTATGTCGCTGGATTCCCACGTAGTCGACCACGGTTCGCGTCCCGGACCCGGTGGCTTAAAACTCACGCTGGGCGTGTGTGCGTGCATGCCCAAGATCCCGAGAGGAGAATGGAGGAGAAGGGATTGCAGCGTGACCATCCCTGCTGGGGGGTGATTTCTCGCTTTCTGTCTCTATGTCTCTGTCTGTCTGGCGAGCGCACACACCCTGTAGCTAAAACCTCTCAAAAAAAAAAAAAAAAACCTAAATATTAAATTGGTCACGTGGTCATTTTATTAAATACTAGTTTCAAAGCTTGAGGTCATCACAAAACTGGGCAGATAGAAACAACTAGGCAGAGACAGAATAAATGTAAACCTTCATGTTTTCAATAACCTCTTAGATAAGGTTAAACAGCATTTACTAGAAGCTTAGTGACTCGAGAAAGGATCAGATAAACAACGGAAGTCAATAGTTTATAGGTCTTATGCTTCCTGAAAATGAATTTCAAGGCTCTCTTGACGTGACGGACTCAGTGGTTTATGCACTTTCTTATCACAAGAAGAATTATCCTTACTTATTATTCAGCCAACGGGTTTTGTGTATGTTATTTGTCCTTATAAATAACTGTATTTAATATACAAAAAAGCTTTCTGAATCATTGTGTATTGATCTGTGTATAATGTTCTTTCAAGCTCTGAACAATAGTGGTTTATCTTCCTTATTCAGCTATGGTTTATTTTTAATGAAACATGTATTTTCCCATTTAATAAAGAAAATATAACTGGCCCTCGTTGACATATCCTTGTGGAAATAAATGAAAAAAATGCATAATGATCTCTTTCAGTAGGATACAGAACATTACAAAAAGGTACCCAAAATTTTAGATTAAGTAAGAAAAAACACAGCCTACCTTAATGACACTGGAGGAAGAATAGGGCAGGCACATGCCCCCTCTATAAGAAATCCCTTGTGCGTGTGTGTAGAGCCACTTCCCACTGCGAACGAGATGCAAATACAGTCTTCAGTCTAAATTAGTAGTGTAATGAATGCAAAGATCAAATTGCTGTAAATAATCACAAAACTAATGCCTTTGCATATGAAAGTGTCTTCATATTTCTAGAGTTCTGGAGTTGAAGATAACCAGAGTTGAAACAGAGTTCATTTTAAACCTGTGGTATATAGGGGCACTGAAAGGTCAGTGAGGACCATGGCTTGGTGGTGAAGGTGGCTTGGATCTCACATAGTTGACCCCATGGTTTGGGTCCTAGAATTGGTATGTTTCACCTGGGGCATGTTTAAAATCTTAAAGGAGAGAGAGACATGGAAGAAAAGGGATTGTGGCTTGACCACGCCACATGGGAAGAGGGGATGCGGGGATGCTTTCTTGCTCTCTCTCTCTTTCTCTCTCCTCTCTCCAGTGAGCACATCCACCCTCTGGCAGGAAAAAAAAAAAAGCGACAAAAAAAAAAAAAAAAAAAAGGAAGAAAAGAGAAAAGGTGGGGCCAGTGGACGGCATAGCGGTTATATCACTGGACTTTCATATGGCCAACTACAGTTAGAGTCCTGGACCTGGTGGCTTGAAAATCACACTGGTGCATGTTCATGCATGCCCAAGATCCTTGGAGGAGAATGGAGGAGAAGGGTTTGCACTGTGTTCATCCCCACTGGGAGATGATTTCTCACTCTCTCTCTCTCACTGTCTGTCTCTCTCTTATAAGAACATGTACCTACCCTAAGGCAAAAACCTCTAAAAAAAGGAAAAAGGAAAAGGAAAAATATCAATGAAATCTTAAATTGGAATTATAAATGAAGGTATTTCCTAAAAAAATAAAAAAGAGTTGAGAGTGTTATTTTATTTGTCTCTAGGCTACTCTGTGGTCAGCTCTAGATAAAACCACTTGAAAGAAATGAAAAGTTATCTGCTGATGATAACGTATATGGTAGTATCTTTGAATTGATTAATATGCACTGTATTCATGCTGGGAAAAACCATGTTGGACACTTGAAAGAATTTACCAACACCAGACCTGCTTTCCAAGATGTTGTCAAGCAAGTGCTATACCAGGAAAATTAAATACAGACACACTGAAATGAGAGCTAAAAGACAAAGAAAATAGCCAACTTAATCATAAGGACAAGTCTGGAGTTAAATATTTTACCCCAGAATTTAATAGGGTAGATAGAACCATAACAGAAGATAAAGTACATGAGACTGAACTGGTGAATGAGAATCTTATGACTTTGGACTAAAACATTGCTGATTTTCTTCTAGGTTTTGTTTTCCAGTTTTAAGGATTTTTGTCCTGTCTTGAGCTGCCGATAGGTTCATGTACCTACTGTTCGAACAGAATCCTAACCTGTTTTCTGGCTTTAAGTTTTAAGCGAAATTCCTTATCATTTCTTTGATTTATTAAAACTAAAACTACTTTTCTTGAAATTAAAAATATATTTTAAAATACCTACTTAATGACCACAGTAATATATTTAGCATCAGCTAGGTGCTATTTTATAGTATATTCATTCTACTCAGAGTTTCATGCCTAATTTCATGCCTAAATATTCACAGATTTGTATATAGCAGCTGAGCTTGCTATTGAACATAGTTAGATTATTTAATAAATTTTGTGACTCAAAAAAGGAATGGAAAGGGACCAGCAGTTAGCGTAATGGCTATGTCACTGGACTCCTATGTTGCCGACCGGTTCAAGTCCCGGACCCAGTGGCTTAAACTCACGCCAGGTGCATGCGTGCCGAAGAGCCCAAGAGGAGAATGGAGGAGAAGGGATTGCGGCATGGCCATCAACCCTGGGGGGTGATTTCTCGCTTTCTGTCTCTCTGTCTCTCTCTGTCTCTCTCTGTCTGTCTCTGTCTGGCGAGCGCACGTGCCCTATAGCAAAACCTCTCCAAAAAAAAAAAAAAAGGATGGAAAAACAACTGTAGACACCTGAGATAGTATGGGAGAATGGTGGGAAATGGCAGAAGGTAAGAAATAGGGGAAAATAAATATATATATAAAACTAGAAATGGAAAATTATTGACAATAACATGTATGATTAAGCCACTATGCAGTATATTTTGGATGGGAAATCACATTTTATGTGCTGTTATGATGCTGAAGGAATGAATGTAAATTAATTAATTAAAAAAAAATAATAAATTAAATTAAAAAAAAGAGAACCATGTCTTTGCAGATGTAATAAAATCAAAGATGTTGAGGTTGGGAAAATTATACTGGATTATCAAGGTAAATCCAAATGTAGTCATAAGGGTCATTACAAAATGAAGGCAGAAATGCCAGAGTGGGGAAAAATTTGAAGATGTGACTGACACTGCAGACTTTGAAGTTAGAGGAATGGAACCATGAACCAAAGAATGTAAACAGCCTCTAAAAACTGGAAAAGGCAAAGAAACAAATGTTTCCTAGAACCTCTAGAAGGTTCCTCCACTTCTGTCAGACTCTGCAGACATTTTTATTTTAGCCAGCTAAACTCTGTCTGGTCCTTCTGACCTCCAGAACTATAGGATAATAAATAGGTGTTCGTTAAGTCACCAAAAAAAAAAAAAAAAAAGAAAAAAAAGAAAGAAAGAAAGAAAGAAAGAAATATTAACACTGTGCCAGATTTAACTTATCAGATTAGTTATCTGTCAACTTCCATAGTAGAGAAAATGGTCTTGAATGGTTGGTCATTGGATTGGCACACTTAGATGAGGATTAATGTCCAGAGAGTGAGGTACTTTCCCAAAAAGTCAGGTTTTGATAGAATGCTGTAATGATATGGCATGGGAGGCTAAGAGGAGGTAGCATGGATGTTAGTAAGTCATGTAAATTTTTTTTTGGAGAGGTTTTTGCTATAGGGTATGTGCACTTGCCAGAAAGAGAGACAGACAGAAAGTGAGAAATCACTCCCCAGGGGAGATGGCCATGCCGCAATCCCTTCTCTTCCATTCTCCTCTCAAGATCTTGGGCATGCATACACACATGTCCAGCAAGAGTTTAAGCCACCAGGTTGGGACTTGAACCGTGATCGACTACATGGGAGTCCAGCGACATAGTCCTTATGCCATCTGCTGGTCTGTAAACAATTTTTTAAGATAAAATTTTGCTATCAGGTATGTGTGCTTGCCAGAGAGACAGAGAGACAGAAAGAGAGAAATCACTCCCAAGGGAAAATGGCCACACCGAAATCCCTTCTCCTCCATTCTCCTCCTGGGATCTTGGACACACATTCACACACACCTAGTGTGAGTTTTAAGCCACCGGGTCTGGAACTTGAACTGCAATTGACTATGTAGGAGTCCAATGACATAACCATTATGCCATCTGCTAGTACCAGTAATGTAAACAAATTCCAAAAGTACTTTGCTTACCTAATGACATTTCCTTCTGCCCAGGGATATGAATATATCAGATATTTCTCTTCTAGTTTTAATCAATATTAGAAAGAAAGATTATTAAATAATTCATTAAAAATATTTTCTATATAGCTAGAATGGCATTTTTTTTTCTCTGTGTACAACTTAGAGGCAATTGCTTTAAAAAGCAATTTTGTTGTTCATTTGTTTTGATTTCTTTTTAAAGAATCAACCTAAAATGTGTAGGAAAAGAGAATAGTCACATACCTGAGTAACAGTGCATGATCAAAATTTTTCCTTTTTTTGAGGATTGTTTCTTGCCAAGTTGAAAAACGCAATAATGTAGTTTCTATATTTGAATCAAGTTCTATTTTATCTCCATTTGTCCATATTTCAAAGCCAACCAATGTCACATGAATGTCCAAGGTTTTATAAATCTGTTCAAAGAAAACATTTTTTACAAAGTCAAGTTGCTAGAAGGATCCTTCATCATTATCACATTCCTTTACATTTTCTTCCTTCAAAACAGTAATTTGTACTTGGGAGGTACATAAGAAAACCTCACTTTTCAGATACATTTAAATGGATGAAAAGGAATGGTAGATTTCTGTGGTCAAGAAAGACACTTGACAAAGTTCTGATTCTTTTTCAACTATATTGACTTGTATTCACTGGTGTCAGAATGTGTCTAGAAGAAAGAATTTATCCAAGCTCTGATGTTATATCTGGCCAGAAAACATAAATTTACTGCTAGTGACACAGAGTGAAGTGAATGCTCTGTATTTCTCTTCATTAGGCCAAGAATTGGTTCTGTGACAGGTTAGAAAGTTGGTATTGGCTTCCAAAACTTACCATGTTTGATTTCTCTGTTTTGATATTTTGAGCACTATCTTTTTCATTTGAGAAACCTGATTGGGGATTGCTCAAAGCAAGCAGAAAAAATTGCAGTCCGTAAGTCTTCTCACCTCTATTCCCATCTGCTTTGATAAACACCAACTTGATGGAAATTTCAGTGCCAAAAGAAGACAGAGTTTTTGTTTGTTTTCAGTTTTGTTTTGTTTCTTCAGAGAGATTTTTGCTATAGGGTACATGTGCTCACCAGAAAGACAGAGAGAGACAGAGACAGAGAAAGTGAGAAATCAACTTCCAGGGGGATGGCCATGTCGTAATCCCTTCTTCTCCATTCTCCTCTTGTGATCTTGGGCATACACGCACATGCGTCCAGCGAGTTTTAAATCTCTGGGTTCCGGACTCAAACCATGTGAGTCCAGCAACATAACCATTATGCCATCTGCTGGTCCTGAGATGAAGTATTTAGACAATGAGTAGGAAGATTCCAAGGTGAGAGACTATGTGACTAAGTGCTACATCAATTCTATATTCTATTAACAGCTAATATGAAGTCAGTTGAAAGAAAGAATGAGTGATGAACTATGAATGCTGAATTTAAAAAGAAACACAAATGTCACTCATACAGTGTTACTAGAGAATGTAGGTAATTATCAAGAAGTTTACTACTGGAGTCCCCCCTGGGGCCCTGCTAGGCCGGCGGCGGCGGCAGAGGCGGGCTGGGTGCCAAGGCTGCATCCGGTCACGGGACGTCCCTTATCAAGAAGTTTACTACTGGAGTCCCCCCTGGGGCCCTGCTAGGCCGGCGGCGGCGGCAGAGGTGGGCTGGACGCCAAGGCTGCGTCCGGTCACGGGACGTCCCGGGCCCTTCCGGGCTCGGCGAATCCCCCCTGGGGCCCCCCCGCCGCCGCCCCCGCC